GAGACACTCATAGTTAAACTCAGGGAGCTGAATCCAGCCCAGAGGGCAGATTTCAGAGAATCCTAGAACCTCCTGACATGACCCCAAGGCTATGTGTAAGGGCATTTTGAGAAAGGGACAGAGGTTATAACTTTTGACAGGTTATCCAAGGGATCTGTGACTTCCCAAATATTCAGTAAACAACAGGTCTTATGGCTTTTAAAAATAAATATAAGGAAATTTTATAGGCAGTAATGGTGGGGAGGACAGGACTTAATAACCTATGTGTTGAGTCATAACTATGAAAAAAGTATCTACATGTATGTTACTAGAGATTAGAAGTATACTAAGAGATACATAAAAGGCTTTAAGATCTTGCAGGGATTTGGAGGAAGGATGCTATTTTTTTTTTTAAGTAAAAGACCCCAATTAGCTACAATGATATTACTCCTGGATTTGCCATCTCTCAAGAGCACCACTGGAAAGAGATCCTGTACTGACCACTCAGATCTGCCACCTCCACCCATCTTTGCAGTCTGTCAGGCTCATATTGCTGACCTGAGGGGTGGTCAGCAATATGAGCTCATTTAAAACTTAAGAATGAAGTTTTAAATGGGGGGGTTGGGGTGGGGGGTTGGGGGCTGGGAACTGCTAATTCCTGACAGGCATCCATCAGTGAAGATAACATCATTCATGACTAATATTTGAGGAGGCGTCCAGACATGAAACTAATGTATCTGGGACCGTATATAGATCCAGCATAGCAGAGGGCCAGCCTCCAGCATTCTAGTGAAATCCTCTTTCCTCTGCATGAGATCCTCCACCCACTGCCAGAATTCCTGGTCCTATAACTGAGCAGGTCTGGAGCCCTCCTGAGGGGAATCTCCCCTGGAAAAGACCTAAGGCCAGAAAACAGATCTGGTTTCCACCCTACCTGCCCTTCTCAGGGACTCAGGACTTGAACTTGCATTCTTTAATTCTAAACTCAATAAACAGAAACTTCAGGGCTGATTGTTGAAAGTATAGGGCCTGGAAACTAACCTGTATACACAAGTCACCTGAGTCACAAGCCAGCCAGGAGTCTGACATCCAATTCCCACTGTGGCCTTCCCTGCCCTATTTTCCACCAGCTGCCACATGCTCCAAGGCTTGCTGGATGCTCACAGGTGACTGGGCAGTGAGAGGCCAGTGAGATGCTGGCCTGATTTTAGGCCTGGTCATCAGACAGGCTAGTAAGTTCCAATTACATTATCCAAGGGAATAGGAGCACTCCAACCTCCACCAAAGGTATCCCCTGACATCCTTGGGGTCCACATTACAACAGGGATATAAGCAATTTTCACAGCCAGGAAGGTGACAGGGCACTGGTTCCAAGGAGGGTTTTCATTTTAGAGTGGAACCTTCTTGGCTGAAAATCGGTGTCCCCTGTACTGGGGAAAAGGACTAGCTAAGAGCAGGAAGCACATCTGGACCCTACCAAAGGGCCACGGCAGCTATGGCTGGACTTCATCCCCATTGGGGAAACCAGACAATGGGACATAGCCCAGTCCATCCTACAAGGGGTGGAAGAGCCATGGCAAAATTAATAGTTGGGCTCACACTCAGGCACTGAACTTGGGGAGAAGGAGACAAACTCCAGTCATTCACACACTGGAGGGAGGATTCAGGGTGCCCACCCGCATCTCCGGAGGCGGTGCAATTCTTAGTTATGACCACTAGGTAGCGCAGTGATGTCTCGGCAGCTTCAGGATTCCAGGAGAAGGTTCCAAGTTTGGGAGAATCTTTTTCTGGGTGACTCTGGAAAACTGAAGGCTTTTAGCCAATCTCACTTCCCTCTTATTGGTAACTTGTTTTTATTTTTTACCCAATGGGACTTTGGAGGATGGGCGGGGAAAAGTGAAAGGAGGCCCAGACACATGGAAGAGGAGGCCTTCCTGTGGCTACATGGTTTTTTACCCTGGATGTCACCAGCTCTCACCAGGGGGCCTGAGGACAGAGAACTGTGGCATGGCTATGCAATGGTGTGCTGGGCGGCCACAAGAAAAAAAAAATCGTTTTATGAAAATATGTAGGTGACAAAATCACATAGAATTTATGTTCTGACATTGAGGAAAAAGCCGTAAACCTAATTGTATATGTCTGGTGATTAAGAGTGTTTAAAAATGTGAGTTTGAGAGGAAAAAATACTGAAAAAAGGTACAAAATATTTGTACTTCTGCGCTTACATTTGATTTTTCTGTCTGTTCCAAATTTTGTGTGTGTAATGCTTTCGCACTGTATGTCTGTGGTATGTTTAATGACTTAAATAATTTAAAAATGCATTTACTTCAAAATGAAGGGTTTGACTACAGCAGTGGTTCTGGAACTTCAGTGTGAAAAAGAAAGCAACTGGAGGGCTTATGAAAATAAGATTTCTAGGCTTCATCTGCAGCTTCTAATTGAGTGGGCCTGGGATAGACCTAGAAATTGGCATTTCTAACAAGTTTCAAGTGAATAGTGCTGGCCTGGGGATCACAGAGAACCACTAGACAGACAAAAGAGTCCATGGAAGAACCAAGAGTTGAGCCTAGGACTCCTGACTCCCCTTCAGAAGATATCATTTCTTCCCACAGAAACACAGAGCCTTCTTCCCACAGAGCCTCCAGCCCAAACCTGCCTTCATCTCCAACTATGGGATGAAGGGATAGGGAAGCCACACGAATATCTCCCTCAGTGGCAACTATAATCCAAAGAATATTTTTTTAATCCATGATATTCATGGATGTATTCCTTCAAAATAAAATATCAGCATGCTGGGGAAAAAAAGCAGTTTATGAAGAAAAACTCCTTGAGCTGACACTCCCTTGTAATGGGTAGAAAAATAGTCACTGTGATAGCTAATTAACCATCGACTCTGAGCTACTCCTTGGCACCCCTCAAAATATGATCAAGAAAATTCTTTTCACATGAGCTGGGCATTACCAGGGCTGGGCAGGGCCTGTGGGTTCTCAGTTGACTAGGACTAGCCATGACTGGGAAAAACTTTCCAGTTGACAAATGTTCCAGCTCCCTTGTCCCAAGAGAAATCAACATAGTGAGAGGGGGAAAATGCTACTTTATAGTAAAAAATAAGATCAACAGCAGCAAACAAGAGCATTTGTTAGCCACCTGCTAGTTACAGGCCCTGTGGTCAGTGGAAAAAAGCACAATTCTATTGGCCAAGAAGCTTCCATCTGATAGGGTCTCCAGCACCTTGCAGGGGTGTGTGTGTGTGTGTGTGTGTGTGTGTGTGTGAGAGAGAGAGAGAGAGAGAGAGAGAGAGAGAGAGAGAATTTCAACACAATGTTATCAGTGTTCAAGTTCAAGTAACTATGTACAAAACATGACAAAAGCCCTCAGGCCAGACAAGTCAGCCCAGGAAGCTTTCTAGAAGAATCTAGAAGGAAAAGAAGCGGAAGGACATTGTAAACAGAAAGAAAAATATGAGCCAGCTGTGACTTAAAGGTCTGACAAATGGTGGTGAAATTGAGAATCCATGAGAGTTTGAAATGGCACAGAGTAGGGCGGTAAAAAGAATTGGCCAGAGGAGAGGTCCTCAAGGCAGTCCTCAGAAGTTTAGCCTTCACCCTGGGGGCAGCTAAGGCCACCGTTAAGACTGGTGTTAAGAGAAAGGGAGGGATGCTGCTGGCTGCCGTTCCAGGCTGAGTTGACAGCCCTAATTCCCAACCTGGCAGGAACCCCAGCCGCTCCCTGAAGCGGAGCAGCATTATCAGCAAGAAAAGGCAGGGGTGGGGCTCAGGCAATCACCAGTTTTACAACCTCACCTGGCCCTGCAGCCAGACACCATCAACTCTTCCTCCAAGGCAGGCCCCAGCCTTGGGCAGATCTCTTTAAAGTTTTCCTGTTAATTGCTGTTTCAAAGACAAAATCATAGGAGGGATTTACATCATGAAACCGAAACAGTAACCCATAGTAGAAGCTGGAAGAGAAATCTTCCATCTTCCTCTTATTCTGTGTCTGAAAAGGGAGCCCTTTGGAAATTCTATATCATGCTAATGTATAGACCAACAGAAATTTCAAAATTCATTCTCACCTGCATTATCACTGGATTCTTACAATAACTCTATAAAGAGTGCTGGGTAGTTATTACTAGCCTCATTTTACAGAGGTAAAGTTTTATCAACTAAAGATCACCAGGAACACACCTGATGTCACGTGGAAGTTAGTTTTCTTTGGCTTACTACAAGGGAAGGGGAGCCCCAGAGGCATCCTGGCACCCCAGTGATAGAAGTGGAGAGCGGATACTTAGAAGACCTGGGCTTATGCCGGATGAGTCTTAGGAAGGCTGGAGAACAGGGGCGTTCTTTGGGTTGTATTCTGCCAAAAAGGAGGGCAATTCAATGGTTGGCTATCACAAATAACTATGAATTACTTGTTGTTAAGTAATTATTAGCCTAATCAGAAATAGGCTATTACTGATAGCAGGTGGGAAGATGAAGCAGGGCTGAGGGGGCATTGATACAGGAGCCCAAAGCACACGTTTCTATAGGCCAAAAGAGGGGAAGGTATAATCATGTTTTGGGTCTCAGAGTGGCTTTCTCCATCTTGATGCAAACACAGAGATTCAGGGTCCTGTGCACATGCTGATATTCTATGTGGATTGTCTGAGTCCGGCTGGAATATCATGGCCTGGCTGCCTGCAGGGCTGGTTTTGTGGTGTTATGTTTCATGTTCTCTCACACAAAGTGAATTCAGGTAATGTCTTTGAGGTCTCTCGGTGTCTGTGCACTTCCTGTACTGCCTGGCTGACCCCCTTTACCTCTGACCTCTCATGAGTCCTCACTGTCATTCTGGGTGCCAATAGCCAGAATGTGGACAAGGTGGTGTAGCTGGACCTCAGACCCAGGTCTGTAGACTCCATACCCAGTCCTCACATGCCCTCCAATGTGAGAGGCCATCGCAGTGCCAGGAATCCTGTAATGGTTACTTCCCCCTGGTATTGGGACCTACATGTTTTGGGGAAAGAAAAATATGGAAGTAGATTGGGTGGCTTACACAACAGAAATTTTATTTTCTTGTGATTCCAGAAGCTAGAAGCACAAGATCATGGTGTCCCTGGGGTTGATTTCTCCAGAAACCTCTCTCCTTGGTTTCAGATGGCCGCCTTCTCTCTGTCTCCACGCGATCTCCTTCTCTGTGTCTTTGTCCTTATTTTCTCTTCTTATAAGGACACCAGTCATGTTGGTTTGGGGTCCACCCCCGATGACCTCATTTAACTTGAGTCACCTCTGTAAAGACCTCTGTCCAAAAACAGTCACAGTCTGAGATATGAGAGTTAGAACTTCAAGAAACAAATTTAAGGAGTTCAAAATTCAGCCCCCCCCCCGCCCCCAGCAAACACTTTTCAAGGCCCTGCTCTGCTGGGCTAGAGTCTAGGGATACTGTGGACACTGCAAATATATCTTTGTTCTATTTGAGCTGCAACAACTCCTAAGGGCCTTCAGAGTTAGAAAAGAGACTCATAAATATACATGAGATTGGAAAGAGAGTAGTAAGTCCACACCAGGCCCAAACAGGGGCCTCTGCTAAGGGGGTGCCGGACGGAAGGACCCAGCGCTGGCTCATAGGAGCCAGCTGGCAGCTAGCAGGGGGCTAAGTAAGGGAGGGGGCAGCAGCCCCGTTCAACAGAGTGATTAAGACTTTCTGGCAGCACAAGCAATAACTGGCAGGAGACCAAGAAGGAGCCATTTATCTGGCTCATGTTGCAAGTAAGTGATAAAACTCACCCTCTGGCATGGCGCCGGAAGGAGCCATCATCTTTGCGGAGACGATGTGCTCAGTGTGAGCTCAAGACGTACTTCTCAGCTGTGAGAAATATTTTTCCCACACAAGCTGTGTTCAACAAGGCCGTTGCCTAGGCTCATCCAGCCTAGGCCAAGGAGAGAGGGCCCAAGGCCAGCTGCCACCTTCTCCTGCCATGCCTGCCTCCCCTCACCCTTGCCAAGACCGAAAGGAAGGGCCGAATCAGCCAGCACCCAAGGACAGAACAAGGGCTGGAAGGACAGACTCCCACGCTCCACCTCCTGTCTGGGCTCTGGGCTCCTGGCCTAGGCAGGAACTCCTGGCTTAGCTGAAGTAAACCTTAGGGAGGCCTTGGTGGGCATGTGAGAACTGGGTATGGAGTCTACAGACCTGGGTCTGAGGCCCAGCTACACCACCTTGTCCACAGGTGGCCTTGGGAAAATCACCTAAGGCCTTTAGACCTCAGTGACTCACTAGTAATGAGGTGATTCGTTGAAACTCCCCTGGGCTGTTCTGAAGACGAAGTAAGAGTATACGAAACACTTTTCAACTCTTCACTGCTGGTCATAAAACAAACATTTGTAAGCACCGATTTACTGAGTAGTCCTATCATTACAATATTCACCTGATTCACACACTACTCCCAAGGTGTTTCCCCGTGTTTTATTACAAAAGTATTCTAATATCAAAAGGAGTTTAAAGGAAGATACAGTGAACTGCCATACTCCCTCCAGATAGGCTTGGTAATTGTTAACATTGATGTATTTGCTTTATTCATGTGTGTACATTTTTATGTCTATGTGCTGGAGAACCCATTGAGAGGAAAGGGAGAGGGAGAGAGTCACACATGTATCTACATATTCTGTTTGAAAGTTGTGGATATCACAATAACTTAGTGTTAAATATTTCTACATCGGCCTTCATCTTTTAATAAGGACATTTTCTTACATAGCCCCAGTATCATTGCATAAGAAAATTAAAAAATAATTTTACATTGTCCAATATCCAGTTCATATCCTAATTTCCCCAATTGTGTCAAGAATCTTATTTGTGGCATTTTTCACACCAGGACCCAGTCAAGATTCTCAAGTTGCCTCTTCTTTTTTTTGTCCCTTTCTTCTCTCCTGTGCTGAGATTGTGAGTCCTTAACACTTGGCGCCAAACCCCTTGCTGATGGCTCTTCTGAGGCACCTGACTTGTTGCTCTTTCATTATCTGCCTGCATCTCTCTCCCTGCTGGGGTGAGAGTGACTCCAGGGAGCGCTGTGCCCATCATTACTGCATCCTCAGGACCTGTTTAAGCTGTTGTAGAGTCTGCCCCACACAAGAGAATGTCCAATGTTGTCCTCCTTGTCAAAAAGCCAGGCCAGGTACACTTTTGAAAAGTTAGTGAGTTTTAAGTAATTCCACAGCCCTGCTGGAAGTCATGGAAAACATCCCAAAGGTATAAGAGACCTAGGACAGTTCTGCCCAACCTCCACACCTAGAAACAGAAGGACTTTAAAGTTACCTGGGTTCTTCCTTATAGACTGTGCTCCACTGCTGAGATAGGGCCAGCAACAGAAAGCCAGAGATGCTGGCCAGACCTCAGGCCTCCTCTGCAACACACATGCACAGGGGTCCATGAGAAGCTGGCTCTGTTCCCATTATGGATCTCAGGGAAGTAATTCTAAGTCCTTTGGGTTTCCATGGAGGCAGAAAACCACTTCCAGATCAGCAAGAGGGGAGGAGGGATATATATCACACGTATCGAGTTGGTGTCACCTTCTCCAATATGAATTCCCCATGGTGCTCACTACCTTAATGGGAGTTTTAAGCTACCCCAGCTTCAAATGATTCTTTCTAAAGCAAAGCTTCTCAAACTTTAATGTGCATAGGAGTCACCTGAGAAGTTTGATAACATGGACATTCTTTTCAGCAGATCTGAGATGGGCTTCAAGTTCCTGCACATCTAACAAGTGTTCAACTGACGCCAATGCCACAGGCCCCAGCACCACACTTTGAGAAACTGTCTTTTAAAGGACACTAAATAGCTCCTCACCTACTCAGGGAACTAGTAATTAGCACCTATTACTAGACATAAGGCAGTGAGCTAGCACAAGAGGAACAGTGGATGGGAAGAAATAAAAGGATGAGTAAGACACATTCCTTTGACGCAAATCCAGCTGCGTGTGCTTTACTATGTCTAACATGTTGCATAAATTGACTGAATTCTTACAACAACCTATAATCTATAAAGGATATTTTTACTCTTGTTTTACATGCGAGGAAACAGGGGCTGACACAGCCTAGTTGCTGCCCAGACTAGTGAGGAATAGGGTGGAGTGTGAATTGAGGTCTACCTGAATCCAAGGTGGGATCCTTCCCCACGTTCCTTTCTCACACTTGATCCTGATGCCTTTCCCTCCCCACCTGATGAGGAAGGCACAGGGACCCAACCAACTAGTGTGGGCCTCACCTTTGAAGCAGACTCAGCACTGGTCCTGGGGCGATGGGGTTGGGAGCAGGCAGGAGGTGCTAAGTAACCAGGGAGAGGTAGCCTTCCCTGGGGTGTGCTGCCTGTTTCCGGTCGTTGAGTTGCTGATGAGGTCCAAGCCCTTTGCAAGAAGTTCCTGTGTCAGGCACAGCCCATACTATCAAACTTCAGCTGTGAATTATGGTCTAAACTTTGTCACCAAATGGCTGTATGACTTTGGGTAAATCACTCCCTTGCTGGACTTGGAAGGCTAGAAGCTCTTCATGGCCCTCCTCTCTGACAAAAGGTCTTGAAACTCTTCCTCTGTCTTCCCGCCCAGCAGGGAATTAAGGCATTTGTCACTTTCCCACTCAAGGCCCCAGCTCTATTTTCTTAGTCAGGGCCACGGGTCTCTGCGGCTCATGGCACAGTACTTCTACGCACCAACTTCACACACATTGGCTGAGCACATGCTCTCCATCAGGCCCTGTCCTCAGGGGTGGGAGGTCAAGGCAACAAATGCATTCCCTCCCTGGGGAAGGCAAGTAGACCAGATTACAGGCACTCAGGCCCCAGGAACATGGAGGACTGCCCTGACACCACCCAGCAGGGGGAGGCAGGCAGGCCTAAGTTGGGCATCGTCCCCACTGTGAGGCCTTGCTAAGTGCTTTCCCCAGAATATTCCATTTAATCTCCCCATAACACTATGATATAGATGCTGTCATTTGTCCTATTTTTAAAATAAAGGACTGAGGATATTAGCTAACTGATAGAGTGCTTGTCCAACATGCATGAGGCCCTGGGTTTGATCCCCAACACCAACAAAAAGAGAGAGAAAAAATAGACTCACAGAGGACAAATGACTAGTCCAAAGCCACACAGTTAATAAGGGTTTAATGAAATAATGTATATAAAAACCCTTAGCAGTGTGTCAGGCAAATGTAAATAAATGATTAACTAAAATGCCTTTTACAAATGGCAGAACAGGGAACAGGAACCAGTTTTCTGCCGTTACAGACAAAAACAAAACTAATGAGTGGAAGAAAGGCCTCTTGTCCCCCTGGAGGACAACGTTCATCTTGGGACTAGCCATACATAATGAGAAGCAGAAGGAACCTTGTAGAGGGATGGGTGGGCTCCAAAGTGCTCCGTGGGTGCCCACCAGGGCAGTGGGAACACCAACAGGGTGGGTGCCCTGGGGAGGAGGGACAATAGGCATTCTTGGGAGGCACCTCAGGGCTCCCCTGTCCTTCCTAGATGGCTGCAGAAGCCAGTCTACATGTACCCCAGGCTCAGCTGCTCCATGTGTCAGCTGTCATGCTCCTCGTCTGGGTAATGGAGTGTTATGAAGCATGTTGGAAATCATCAATTAGTGCTTAACTCCATGTTCATTGGGTTGTATTTCCAAGAATGCACCACTAAGAGCCACAGCAGAGTAATCTCACTCCTTTTCTCATTCAATGGCTTAGAATTAAAATGCCACCCAACATTCTCTTCCAAAGAAATTGAGATTTATGGGTCACTGTCAATATCAACACATGTTAGCCATTATTTGAAAGTCTCCTTGCTCCTTGGGACTGATTACTATTTACTTTGAAAGATAAGTGTAGCTTTATAATCCATGTGGGTTGCTAGGAGAAATGGGTTTAAATGTTTCTTCCCTTGGAGCTGTTTTTTATTTCATTTCATTGAGTTGGTCTGGCAGTGTGAGCCCCACCCTGCTTATCATCTCTCAGAAAGTCCTGTATTCTCTGAGGCTCTGGAACAATGACAGGAGAAACCAGTCTGTTCTCAGTCCAAGGTCACCTGGAGAGATCCTTTGCACTTCAACAGCCAAAGGGCCCCTGACTCCTGAGTTCAAGTCCTTGGTTTAAGCCAGGCTTGAGACACCCTAGGAGTTTGCTAGAGGAGCAAGAACACTGGAATACTCTGGTCTTTTGTGTTGCTTATGAAAACTGAGGCAGGAGCTGAATCATTTTGATCAGTGGCTGTCAAATTTAATGTGCTTCCATCTACCCTGAAAAGCTTATTGTATGTACCCCAGGGCCCCTCTCCAGAGTTTCTGGTTCAGTAGGCAAGGGGGATCCCAAAAATGTATATTTCTAGCAAGGTCCCAGATGATACTAATACTGGGGCCAGATCTAGATCCCACCAGCTTAGAACAAGAGTGGGAAGTAGTAAAGACGGTGAGTGAGAGAAATGAGGCTGCCGGCAATGTTTGGTGCTCTGGGAAAATAACACTATCTAAAAGGGAACTTCATTAAGCTTTACTGGGAAATAAATAATTTTAGTCCTTCTGTATGAAATCTTCAGTTAAAGGTCAATTTCCATCAATACACTACAAATCTGAATCTATTGTGAAATGCTATTGTGAAGTGCTAAATGAGTCACCCCTGACTGGGTGGTCAGCTATGCCCAGGTTGCTAGAAAGAGCTGGTAGGTGGTGGTCCTGCTTTAATGACTATTAGGCAGACGTTATAGGGAGGTTCCTGGTATTGATAACAGAGCCTGCAGTACTAAAGTCCAAACGAGATTTTCCCTGCCACAATCAGGGCTTTCAGATGATATTGGGCCCAAAGCAACAAAGGGGTATAGATTCTGGGGTTCCATGTTGAACATGAGAAGGCCTTTGGAGGCAGATGACAGCATTGCTTTGCCAGGGACCCGACACTGCAATAAACTGCAAGTCTCCTCCAGGAAATGTGCTAAAAAGAACCTTGGTGCCCCCAAAGCCAGGCTGCCCCAAACCCTCCCCATCAGAGTGCAGTGAACTGCAAAAGTTGGCACTCAGGAGCCATTATTAGGGAGTGGACACACCCAGAGAAACCAATGCCCCAACTCTCACAGAGTCAGGAGGCTGTTACAGTGACCCATGCCCAGTGACAGGGATAGCAGTAGGAACAGAGGAAAGTCAACGTATTTGGAGACAGGAAAAGGATGAGTAAAAACACCCAGTGATGATATCCATTGGGACTTTAAGTCACAGGGACAGAAATTTAACTCAGATTAACTTTAGCAAAAGAGGGAGTTTATTTCCTTACATAACAGTAATGTCCAAAATAAGTTTCAGATTCACCTGGATCTGTGACCCTAAAAAAGTCATCATGTCCCTCCAATTTTTCTTTACCCCCTTGATTCATTTCCTCCTTTCTCCTCCCCACCTCCTCTTCTCTCCCTCCCTCTGTGATAGCACTGGAGAATCCCAGATTTCCTTGATCCTAGAACTTAAAACTCCAGAGAGACTGTGCCTTATCATATACCCTCTGACAGATGTTCCAGAGAAGACTTTGGCCAGGTGCTCACCCTCAGATAGATTATCATGGGCAGGAGGATGGAACCTTTGATGGAACCTGGTTTGGGAACAATGCCCAAACCTTTGGTGGGATCTGCTTTACCCAAATAAGACTGAGCAGGATCCAGGAAAGGGAGGGGCAGAGGACTAGCTGTGAGGCATGAGGACGAGCAGGGATGCAAGGATGCTCCTCTCCCACAGGGGCAAAACTGGCTTACCTGTCCCTGCTCACACATCCCTAACCATGCACACTGGTCCCCTGCTCAAAGGTGTCCTGTAGTAGCAGATCTACCTGGGCAGGGCTGGCTTCATGGGGGGGCTCCTGGATAACATCACATGCTCAGCCATTTGAGGACACTGGGATTCTCAGTTTCTTCTGTAACACATAAGAGGACCAAGGCAACTTACAAGCACTGTTCCTTTCAAAGAAAGCAGATGGGTGAAATACATAAAACCAGCATTTTTATTGGCCTCCTAGGATGCTCCGAGACCTGCTTTTAAGACTCTCTGTGTTAAATACACACTTCAATAATGCTTTAGTCTATTCCTCAGTGGTTCCCAAATTGTGATCCCCAGGGGAGCTTATTGGAATGAAAATTCTTCATCTCACCCCAGACCTACTGAATCAGGAAGTCCAGGTGTGGGACCCAACGGACTGTTTTAACAAGTCCTCTGAGTGATTCAAGGCTTGCACCAAAGTTTGAGAACCACTGATCTATATCTGTATTTGATCCAATTCACTCAGTTCAAAAGGACCACCCACTACAAAAAAACTGAGATTTGCATTACAGATTTAATGAACAGTCTGAATTTTAAGGGGTAAAAATTTGTGAAAGAGTTTTCTATTTCTCCCACCCACTCCTTCAGCCATGCACTATCAGATTATTCTTCTCCATCCTTTAATAGTATCTTAGGCAGAGTCCTTAATTTTTGGTAGATCCTGATATTAAAAGTCTTTTTATTTTATTTTCTTAAAGGCTGAATTTATTTTTACTTTATTTTTTTAAAGGCTGAATCTCATATCTGGTGGACATTCTTCTTTTCTCCTCTGTAACAAGGATGGGGATTGAAGTGGGGGTGAGCTAGATTGGTTCTGCTGTTTCATTCCTCTGACCACTGGAGCCCCTCGGGGTAGGAGAGCTGGGAGTCCTACTTTTTGATTGTGATCCTTATCACCTCTGAAATTTCAGAGCTTATCACCTCTGAAAATGGAGTACAGACAGAGACACAGACACACACATATACCCTCCTTGGTTGTCTGGTCTTGTTCTGGCTCACTCTGGTGGGCCTTGGCCAACATGATGGTGTATGACGGTGTGTATGGTTTTCCAAGGACCTTTTTGTGTGACCCCAGCTCATTTCACACCAAGAAGGGCAGCTGTGAGCCACTTTGTCCTCTCTGGTGGTCCACACCCCTCCCATTAGTAGAACCTCAGAAATGACTGGGGTCTTCTTCCCCACCATCTGAAGGCTGATGAGAACTGAGGTGGGGGAGATCTTGCTAAGATTTTAATGTCCCCTCCCAAGCTCATTGGATTTAACTGCCACCTGTGACAGTATTGGGAGGTGGACTTTAAGAGACCAAGAGGGATCTCCCCTCATGGTGGATTGATGCCATTATTGCAGAAATAGGTTAGTTATCTCAGAAGTAGCTTTGTTATAAAAGTGAGCTCTCAGGCACACATGTGTTCCACTCTTGCTCTCTCTATCTCATGCATGCTTACTCACCCTTTCACCACGTCATACTGCAGAAAGAAAGCCCTCTCCACATGCAGGCCCTCAGGCTAAGGCTGCACAGTCTCCAAGCTGAGAGATAAATAAACTTCTTTTGATTATAATTCAGTCGGTCTGGTATTCTATTATAGTAGCAGGAAACAGACTGAGACAGATCCCACCCACATCAGGCACAGCCCTTCTCTTCCCCACTTGTCTGAGCCTCCTGGACATAAGTCATACTCTCCTCAAAACCCCACCACCAAACCCACAGCACCAAATCCCAAAGGGGGCCGAGAGTTTCAACATCTCAGCAAACATCCAAATATATAACACCCCAACTCCTACCTCCTGTGGGCACCCCAACCTGCATTCTTGGTAAGTGATTCTGATGGCTCCCTCAACTTGGCTCACGAGGAGAGTAACAATCAGGGGGACAGATGTAAATTCTTCCCCCAGTATCTCCTTCTCTCTCTATTCCCATTTGTCTATCTATGTGGACTGGAAGGTGGTGATGGTAATGGCCCTGCTCCTTTGGGAGCCCTGGAGGTGGAAGAATCTTACTCCAGTTGCTGGCAACTTTCTTTAGAGATTATGGGTTGCTTAGCACCTGCTGTTTTCAGCAGAGGTTCTGGTGCCAGTCCTTTTGACTGCTCTCTCACACGTGTTTTCATATACATTACCTTAGTGGACCTTACAATGATTCTGTCAGGTGTTAAACCTACAAGGAAACAGGTGCAGAGAGGTTAAGTGACAAGGCCAAGGTCATAGAGTATTGAAGTGATGATGGGAAGGGGACCCCACCCAGCAGCTCCTAGGTACCTGTCCTCTCCCTGCTGTTTCATGCAAATGCCTCTTCTACACTCATCTTCCAACTGGGAGTGAACTTGGGGTGGCTAATCAGAGATATAGTTTGTTTCCAAGATCCACTGGGAAGCTGGCAGGCGAGGGTTTGGGGCCTGGGGTTTTCTTAGAGAAAAAAAAACAACTGTTGCAGATCAGTCATGCCCAGAGGATGCCACATGGACACTACCATTATCTTCCTAGGCCAAGGTCACATGGTCCCAGGAAACCCTGACTTGGCTTCAGTTGGCCAGCCCTCTCCTAGGGTGGGAGCAGGAGTGGAGTGGGAGTTGGCACTTCTAAAGTAGAGGGCTAGGGTTTCTGGTTAAATGGCTAACTGGCCAGCTCTATGAACTACCCAGCCCAGGTCAAGTGGGGTCAGGGCACCATCTGTGCCTTCTGGCTGGTTCTGCCCAGAATGACTCAATTCCACATGTGGTGGGTGGAGGGTCATGGTTACACCCTCTACGGTGCTCAGAGTACTCTACAATTTTCTAGTCAACATATGGGCTGGAACTGCTGCTACACAAGGGCAGTCTTTTCTCAAGATTAAGTCTTCTGAGGAGCACAAGAGCCTCCCCTGCCCTCATCCTGTGCAGAACCTCCCACAGGGCTGGGATTCAGTGAGAAGTCCCGCCACATTGGCTGGGATCATATTTTCCCAAATGAAAATCAAAACCCTCACCCTCCACAGAGCCCAATGGTTAAATTTTCAAAACTTTGCAAGCTGAGTTTTAAACAGCCATTATTTTAAAATAAAATTAGAAAACTTAAAATGAAATAAGTTATGTTAAAAAAACAACAATAATAAATACTCAAAACTCCTCTGTTCCTAATTATTTTACTACAGTTTGCTATTATCTCTGTCATTAGGGTTTTACATTTATTGCACTATATGGTAAAAATGCGCTATAATGATGTGCTAAAATGCATCCCTTCCCAACTCCATGTCCATTAGTGTTTCATCAGCAGCTTAATAGCAGCCATAATGGTGGTATTTGCGTATGGAAATTACAAATATTACAAATCAGGGTTTGATCTATTGTTTTACTGACTCTGTAGAACAAGGGTCAGCAAATTTTTCCATAAAGGGCCAAACAGTAGATATTTTCCCCTTTATAGATCATAAAGTTTCTGTTGTAAATAACAGATAAACAAATGGACATAGCTGTGTTCTAATAAATCTTTACTTACAAAAACATATGGTGGGACAAATGTGGCAGGTCAAAGACTGCCAGCCCCTGGTCTAGATTTCACAAAGTCATGAAGAAAATGTTAATGAAGATTAAACTTAAAAATGTTTTGTGCCCATAATTGTTCCGATTATGAATAACAAAAAAATAATAATCTGAGGCAATGTTCCTCTAGTACTCAAAAACAATTATCTAATTCAGAAAAAGAAATAACTCTTGTAACTGTTGAATGAAGTTCTAGTATACATCTTTGTTGCTTTATTTTTTTCTTGTTCATTAACAAATGAAAATGGCAACCAGTATTCACATCAAAATTACAAATTTTGTCATTTGCCACAACTTATCTCCTAGTAAATCAAGTAAAGGAAAAATCAACAAAAGCATTCCGTGAGAACCAACTGGCTGTGTGAAGTTTACTATGAAGAGTATCGTATATTTTATCACTATTTGTAAATTGTTTAATACCAATCCTTGATAGCAATAAAATGAATAATAAATCTATGTATATGTATATATATGTATGTATATATGTATAATTGTGCATACATTTTATACATAAAAAATTTTATATGTATAAATTTTATGCATACAATAGAGAGCCTACTGTTAAATATTTACCGTCACCTCACTGCCTGATGGACATGACCATAAAAAACACCCTGACGGTTTAGCTCAGGAGTCCAGAGTCCAGGGAAAGGGATGGTAGCAGGGATGGGAAGACAATCAGGAGAGCCCTCCAAGGTGGTCCCTCATTCATGGGGGACACAGGACCTTAAAGAATGATAGGACTGAGTGATGGATGGAGATGGCTGCACTTCCTGCAGGTAATAGCACAGGAAGGAGTGGAGGTGGAATTTCCTGACTTAGGAAAACAAAGAGAAGAGGACCAGGGAAGCAGTGGGGAAAATGGAGCCAGATATAGTTAATTACATGGGAATGTTCTGTGAGGTTGGGTCAAAAAACAAACAAACAAACAAAAGCAGGTTGGAAAATGAGGATTCATGATAAGGGGAAAAAATACCTAGAATAAAATGCACTTAAATGTAAAATAGCTATAGCTGATAGGATTATGGCTGATTTTGTTTTCATGCTTCTTGACACTTTCTTGTACCTTCCTATTGTTCTGAAGTGGTGTGAATTTATTTGATAAAAGTCATGAAAATAAATGTTCTTTGGCAGAAAGCATTGAGCCAAATCTGAAAGCCATAGTTAAGGACAGGGCACATCTGGCCTGATGCATCCCAGAGGCACCCTGCAGGGAGTGCTGGGGGTGAGTGGAGTGAAGACTCTCTCCTGGGAGAACTGCAGAGCACACAGGTGACCACTACCGATGGCCCCTCACCATGGGCCTGAAGTAGCCCTGACCATGCAGGGGACCTGCCCCCGACCCCAGAGCCCAGGTAGATAATTACTCTCTCTTTTCTCCCTTAAGAAAAGTTTGGAAAGGTTTCCCCCTCCGCATTCACAAAGGCAGAATAAATATAGGAAAACAAGGGATCCTCTTATTTTAGGACTTAACTTTGCTATTTTACCAATTGAAGAAATCTACTTTAAAAGAGAAAGTATACAGTAGAATTGGAAAATTACAAGGGATCCTAAGAATGTCTCCTCCGACTCATTTATTATACAAATAAGAAAATAGAAACTAAGGAGGTCAAGGGGCATACCTAAGAACCCAGAGCCAAGTGAAAACTCATCCCCAGCAGAGATGACTCCCAGAGCCTGGCACCAACTTTCTACTATCAGATAAGCACTGAGCCTCATCACAGGGTGAGATGGGTGTGCAGCCCTAGGCTTCAGAGTGAACTCTAGTCCTTCCCCATCTTACCCTGGAAAGCATGACTGCTTCTGAGGCACCCAAAATGTGTAGCATGGTTTCTCCATGACTTGCAACAGGATTCATGTTTTACTATGTTCCAAACGCCTGGACTAGCTCTCTCCATGCGTAAGACAACTTCTGCCCTACCCACTGGTGGATAAGAGTTCAGATGCCTTTGTTTTGTTTTGTTTTGGGTAGTAGAGATTGAACCCAGAAGCACTGAGACACATCCCCAGCCCTTTTTTATATTTTATTTAGAGACGAGTTCTTGCCGAATTGCTTAAGGCCTCCCTAAGTTGCTGAGGCTGCCTTTAAACTCAAGATCCTCCTTCCTCAGCCTCCCAAGCCACTGGGAATACCTTAATACAACTAAGGCAATGCCATTTTGTGATCAGACACCTCTATTATTATTCTCTTTGCTTGCCCCTGAAAATCAGTCAGGTAATTCCATTTGATACTCAAAAGGGCTAGAGATACCAGTTTAGTAATTTCCTTCACATGAACTTGACTGAACTTTATATAAGGTGAAGATTTCCATCTTGCAACCTATCTGCCTCTGTGATTCACAAAATTCCTCTTCCTCCCTAGCCTGGATCTGTGGCTCCACCCTGCCACAAATGAGGACTCTTTGTGCATTTTTTGCACATCCTTCTGTATATAGGCCACGTTGTTAGTCTTAAATTGTGGTCCTAGAGTGCCAGAGATAGACCAGTTTATACTTTTTCTGATCAGGAACATAGATAGCTAGAGGATTAAGAAATACATTTTCATAAGCTAGATAATAACAAAAATTAAATGGCAAAAGTCTTTGCTGTCCCCAGCAACTGGAGAGCTTTAAAAATAAAATAAATAAGCACCTGCTTCTATTTTGTACTCCTACACAGGCAGGGAAATTGTTGGAGAAAAATTGTGCCCATATATTTTGTACTGTCCCTCTTGGAAGAAGAAGAATATCTTAAGTGAGGTTACCAGGAAGTGCTTACTAAATGCGCAGTTTGGAAAAGGACTTCCCCTGAGCAAGGCTGGTTAGACCAACAGCCCACCATGTCCTTCACCTCCTGCAATTAGAGCATAATAGTCAGATTTTCTTCAATAGATTGATGATTTACGTTGGTAAATGTATTGTTATAATTAATAGCAAAGACATTGTCCTTATCCCTGGCTGTTTTCCCCAAGCCAAAAAACCTAGGACCATACCATCCTAAGAACAAGCCTCATCTGAGGCCTGTGCCCCTAACCCTTTCCACATCTATCTTAGGTACTTTTTACTTTTAGACCAGCTTCCCACCAGAGCTAAATAACCGTTGTTGTTCCTTTCCCATGAGAATAGCTCAGAAACTAAGAACGCCCTATTTACCAACTCTTCCCAACAGAATCCAGTGACCCTTCTGCCCCAGTGTGTAATCCCTCTACCCTTTTGTCCCTGGCTTTTGAGTCTATTTTCCCAATGGAATAGGGAAAGGGGGCCACAGAATCTTCTGAAAAGGTCCCTCACTAACCATCTCTTTGGTCTTTAGAAGATGATTTAAACTATGCATTAAGTCACCTGAAGCCTGCCATCAATAACACCAGGAGGTCTTAATGTCCGTGGCTTTGTTATTTCTTTAAAAGTATTTAGGAGGAAAACAATTGTGTTTGTCAGTTTCCCCTTGCTTTTAACAAATACCCAAGATAAGTCAACTATTTGGCTCACAGTTTTGAAGGTGTCAGTCCATGGTTGGGTGGCCCTGTAGCGTTGGGGCCTGTGGTAAGACAGCACATCATGACAGGACGGTGTGACACAACAGAGCATTCATCATGTGGCTGAGACATGAAAAAGAGGGGAAGAAACCAGAGTCCTATAACCCCCTTCCAGGCACACTCCCCTTGACCTTAAACCTTCCACTAAGTTCCATCTCTAAATTTCTACCACCTTCCAATAGCACCAAGCAGAGAACCAAGCTTTAATACCCGGGCCTTTGGTAGGCATTCCAGATCTAAACCAGAGTAGTATAGATCATAAAATAGGGGAAGGGCTATAAATCTCCCTTTGGCTATGGATGCAATATGTTTTCAGAGGGAAATTGTGGACTTGCTTCATATTTTCTAGATGAGGAATGTATTTTTTGAGGTCT